AACTTTTTCCTTTAGCCAAATTAGTCTAAGATTTAAAGTAGCTACAGCAACCTGAAATTAATGCAAATAGTTTATCAGTTGTCTCCTGTATTTTTCTTCTTCCCTCTTTTTTTTTTTTTTTAAAGGAATCATGACAAAGCCACATACAAACCATTTCATTGCTCCAGTGAAATGTGTTTCTGTTGTCTTTTATGGTTCACATGGTTTTAAAATTTTCCAAGGAAGGTAAGTTGAGACAAAGAAAAGTTAAGTTGCCATCTTTCATATCTTTACTACAGCCCAACCATTTTTGTATTTCACTGAAATGCCTGACTGCAAGTCATCTCCAGCAAATGACTTTTAGTCCCATGATATAGATTTTATTATAAAAATATATTTTGTCAGATACACTAATGTACCAGCTTGATTTTCTTCCAGCATATGGTGGGACAGATCTTGTGGCTAAGAGATAAGCGGTAGATCTCATGCAGTTTGCTTTTCATAAGACTGACAATATCTGATATGTCTCTCCAAATTATGAAAATTTGGATTAATTCAAACTTCTGTAATGGGGATCCATAGCTGATGAAATAAATGACTTGGAGAACTCTTTAAACTGGCACTGTATTGATGGAGTCCTACAGAAATCTGCCTTAGTCCAGTCGATACTCTTCAGTATTTTCATTACTACTTTGATGAAGGACTAGAAAGGCATGGATGGGAAAGCTGTAGGACACAGACTGGGATAGGATTGCAAGCCAGTTGACAGGGTTGAGAATTCAAACTTATCTTGATGTCTTGGGAAAATGGTGTGGAATAAACAGGGTGGAATTCAGCACCACTTCATCAATGCAGCGAAGTACAGTGTGTTGGTATTTAGTGACTCTGTGGCTCAGGGAGAAAGGATGACTAGGACAGCAAGCCCATAGAACAGGATCAGAGGGTGGATCACAGTCTGAACACAAGGTAACTATGTGAAGTTCAAATGAAAAAGATAGCACCACGGCTTCAGTAAACAAGAGCATCGAGCTGTGCTCAGCACTGCCAAAGCCTCATTTGGAGTATAGTGTCTGGATTTGGGTACCATACTTCACGAGTGATACCTAACATGAAGAACCAGTTATTAAGACTAGAGAAGAGAAACTTGTTAGAGGTTTGTAGATTAGATGAGGGGTTGCTGTAGAAAGGAAAGGTAACTCTCTGTTCTCTCCATTCAGAGAAGTCTTGGGCTTGTAGAGCAGCTCAGCAATGCGCATCTTTGCTGACCAATGGAGGAGGCATGTGGACTTTCCCTTATGGGTGTGTTAAATGCAGGTTGGAGACGCTTCAGTAACAAGTAGCCAATTTGGATAGCCAATTTGAAAACTAGGGAAGCATTGGGACTGACTAATCTGTTAAGGTCTCTCTCACTGTTATTTCCTGTGATCTCACACTGAGTTTCTCATGTCCAGAATTCTCAGTGTTCTCCCAGTCTGCTCATTAACCAGTTCACTTACTTGCTGTGTCACAAATAAATGAACCAATTAAAATCAGAAAAAGGGAGGTTTGTGAGCTACTTTATTTCTTACAGTATCAGTGGCTGAGTAACACTAAATGTCAGGTATTTTGAGCCATGTGCACATGTGCAGCAAGGATAGGAGGTGACACAAATAGACTTCTGTCATGCAAATGAAAGTCTGGTATGAAAATAAGAGCATCAGGATTTTCAGCAGAACCATGAGCTCCTGTAACCTCTTACCTCACTTTCAGACTCTGTACAGCCTAATTATACTTCTGCAGATGGTGTTTGTTTTATTATGCACATGCGTAAGAGGAGAACTGGGGAGAGCTCTGTGTCTTGGATGGTGGAACGCTCCCTGTGGGCATAAATAATACAACAACTGCTTTTATTAGTGGTGTTGTGTCAGAAATAGTGTGGCTATTATGCATTAATGAGTATAATGCGGCCCGGTAACTTCCGTTAAACTTTTTCTTGGAAGTGTGAATATATTACTCCTTTTTACAGCACAGATGATGCAGGCTGACCCTGAGAAAAGCGACAATGGTTAAACCACTATGTTTGCAAAGGAGGTACTTCTAGTGGAACTTGGAACCGAAGTGCTTAGGTTGCAGGGTAGGGAAGGCATCAGGTCTCCTGAAATGCCTGGGCCATATCAGTCTCTCTTCCTTGTAATTCCTCCGATGTGGTCCTCAACTATCCTAAATTATTACTGCATTATTGGAAAAGTGATTTTTTTTTTTAATTTATATTTTTTTACATGCTTGAGGCAACCAAAAATGCCTAAAGATGCTCACAAGGAGTACAGAATAATAGATTTAAATAGTACATTTCTAATTGTGTTGCAGGAATTGTGGCTTAGGTAATTCCATCTCAAAAGTATTCTTAGAATTTGCTATACTGCATAAGTGGTGAAAAGCAAAAAAAGCCCAGAAGAGAGAAAACAGCTGAAAATAGCTACAGCTTGCACCTGAGTATTATTGTGCATCTCATCTGAGCTGCACAGTGACAGTCACCATAGAAGCTGTTATAATGGCTGTAATTAATGACAAGAGAAACAGAGCTAATGTCATTTTCTTGCACTCTTAGTTAGTCTCAGAAATCGAGATCTCCTAGGCAGTTTAATAAGAAAGGGTTTATCAAGCAGGATCCTGAAGAATTTAGTGACTGTGGTAGAAAGAGGGAGGTGCTGCTTCTAAGTTCTGCTCTTCTATGTTTGCTTTGGACCCCAGTGGTCAGCAAATGCTAATCTCATCCATATGTTTGGCAGTTGACACATGCTGCTCTCGTTTTTTTCTCTGAGGACTATGTGAGATGCAAGACACACTTCCACTAAAAAATGACAGTTTAATGTGATTATTTTTAGCAAAGCAAACCAAATAAGAGAAGATACTTGTAATACACTGTAGTGCTTAATTTCTTTCAAATCCAATGAAAGTTGTGGCTTCCTCTAGTGACAGAAAAGTTTGGACAATTTTAAGACTGGAGGCTCAATCTATCCCTTGTTTATTACACTAACAAAGTAACATTTTGAAAGGGAAAACAATCTAGAAGTTATTACTGCCAGAGATGCATGGAAATGGGATATGAAACTTGAGTCTACCCAAGCTGGATCTGGAACGTGTGCTATCATCGTGCAGTAAGGGCCAAGTAGTCCAACTGGTTTCAGCCCTGCAACAGGCAACTGGGTTGGTTTACATCAGCTGAAGCACTAGCCTGAAGTTCCTGTTACTGTTCCATATCAGAGCATCCAGGCAGATTGAATGAATCTGTCCATGATACAGATGAGTATCGTGTACACGTGAGTTTTCCTCATAGACGCCATTTTGTTACTCAGAATTTTATTAAGGTCTGTTAATAAGCTTTGTGCTTGAAAGTGAAGACACTTAAGAAATACTGACAGAAGACTGTCACATAATGATTGGTCAGATGTTTCCCAAGAGGCATTTAAAATTTCTACCAATTGTTATTTAATGAGAAAAGTCTCATGCCAAAACTATAATTTTCTTAAAGAAAACAGCAGCAGCTCCATGCATTACATACTGTGAGCTGAGTTCAGGCTGCCATCTGCCAAACGGGCTTTCAGCTCAGCACTGAGGTGATTCTTTGAAAGTCCAGCTGGCACTGATCTGTCACAATGCCAACAAAGGGAAGACTGAGAGGTTTTGACTTGCCCATGGTGTGTAGCCAGGCTTGGATTGCAATCTTGGTATTTTGGAATCATCATCTATAATTATCAAAGGGTGGTGAGAATCCATGAGTTAAGGAGCACCGCTCCTTATACTGCTGCTGATAACAAAACTGGAAAAACTGCAGGAAATTTGGAGTCTCCTGCCATTTTGAGGTGAGCGGGAGTTAGTTATTCTGCGCTTCTGATCTTGTATCTGCCTGGATATAAGGTCATTTCCTTCCCACAGTGTTGAAATGTAGGATATTCTTATACTATGAAAGAGCAGAATTTGTTACTGCTGCCTGCTCTTCCATCCTCTCAACCAGTCAGGAAAAGCAATGATTCACGCAAGAGTGTCATGAGCAACCACTGGGTTGAAACCAGTAGGTTCCATATCAGTTATGGGACAGTCAGATTACCTGTTTTCTGAAGTGTTGCTTGGGACATTCTCTCTGGACTGTGCAAAGGATTTCTTGGTAACAAATACAATACTGCCACAAAATAGACCTCTGTGGTTTTCCAATCCTCAATGATACTTAGAGGTGCTCCTTTCAGTGCCTTGGTCTGGAGGCTATTATTGTACCCATTGGGAAAGACATTGCAACGGGCAAGCTAGTGAGGAGAAGGGAGACATCACAGGAAGAGCCATCTATGCTTTGGTGAGAATCTGAGTATAGATAGAGATGGAGCCAGGAAAGCAGTGGGAGAGGAGGAATGAGTGCTTCTAAAAAGAGCGAGATAAATGAGAAAGATGAGATCTCAAAAATGAGAAGACGTTGAGAAGACTTCACAGACATGGCAGGGGTCATTGCAGTAACTCATGCTATCGATGGAGGAGGGTTTCCAGTATGTCAGCCAAGGGAGTGGCAATAAAGGAAGAGGAGCTTAAAGTTCTGGTGTCAGTAGCATTACTTCCTGCTGCTTTTATTTATGGGCTTTTGAGGTTTTTTGGGGGGGTCAAAGCCCTTCCCTGTAATGCATCCTCCTTCTCCTTTCACTTACTTTCAATTCATTAACTGCCCCAATGCCACATAAGTCTTCCAAATGTTGAATTCATTCCAGTCCTCAAAGATCACCTTCAGCTGAGGGCAGAACTAGGAACTCTGGCAAAAAAATTGGCAAATCCCGGTGTTTAGATAAAGCAACGTGATCTACTTGTAAGAATTTAAATAATCCTGGATACCCTGACTTTCAAATATAGTCAGTGACAGAGAGCTTTTGAACTTGGTGGTGCAGACACTCCACGCTTCAGTGTGAATGTGATGCAGAACTAGTGTGGAGAGGAATAGCTGGAAGGATGCTGTGATCATTTCTGGAGTGGATTCTCCAGTAATCTCTGGTTTGTTTTGTTAGGACCTCTGTGAAGACCCCCACCTATTTGTGAATGGAATCAGCTCCCATGACTTACACCAAGGCATACTGGGCAACTGCTGGTTTGTGGCTGCATGCTCCTGCTTGGCTCTGAGGAAGACCCTCTGGCAGCAGGTAGGTGATCAATGTGCTTGGTGCATGAAATAAAGCTAATAAACCTTGGTTGTTTCTCTGCCTATCAGCCAATGTTTTTCCCTCTAGGACTAATGTGCTTCTGAGGAGTTGTGAATTTTGGTGGATTCAAATCTTCCCGTTCTTTAGAAGTTCATTTTTCATGTTAGGAGACCTCGCCACTCCACAGTCCCATTGAGCACAAAGAAGAGATATAGGAAAGCCAGAGAGTGCAATAGGATCTGTTTGCCTTTCTCTGACGGTCAATTTGAATTTTACTTTCCTAAAAGATTCTTTGAAGTGGGACTATATTTGACTTTGTACTAAATTCACCTTCTTTTTTTCACTGCTTCATCTGTTTAAGGTCAAGTGCTCATGAAGCTGAATACCAGCATGGTGCATGCTCCAGGGCAGTCTGCCCTCTGAATAAATCTTAACATAGAGCATTTGGTGAACTTTCCCTTGCATGGTTTCTCAGGTGATTCCAGACTTTGATGAACAAGAATGGGACCCTAAAAAACCAGAGAAATACGCTGGGATTTTCCGTTTCCGTTTCTGGTGCTTTGGAGAATGGACAGAAGTGGTTGTTGATGATCTGCTGCCAACAATGGACGGGAAGTTGATCTACTGCCATTCCAATGTGAAAAATGAATTCTGGAGTGCATTATTGGAGAAAGCTTATGCAAAGTATGAGCTAGTTCATTGTCCTTTTAGTCCTCAATGCTGTCCCTTCTATCCCTCTGTTTCTTTTGTCTTTCAGCTCTATCATATCATAGGTTTTAGGTTTGATGCTAGTAGAGACCCTAAAAAAGATTGAAAAACTCCTTTAACCTGAATGGAGGATGTGAATCATACAAGAGTGCAATGCACTGTACTTCAGCAGCCCAAAGCCTTAAGGATCATTAGACTCCTTTCCTAAAAACCAGCAAAGGTTTGACTGCAATCTACTGCTTTGTTTTGTTTAGTTCTGCTTTGTTTTTTCTTTGGTGAGACCTACATTCAAGCCAAATTAGAGCACTTCTAACAGTCACTTGCTAACTGAGAATGTTCTGTGTTACCTCCAGGCTGGCTGGATCTTATGAGGCCCTAGATGGAGGCAGTGCTGCAGATGCAATTGTGGATTTCACTGGAGCAGTGGCAGAATCTGTTGATTTGGTACAGGGCAAATATGGTGAGATTATTTCTGAGCAGATGAAACTGTTTGAAGACTTGCTGAAGGTGCATAAAAGAGGCGGGTTGATCAGCTGTTACATTGCGGTATGTACAGAGAGCTGGATTTTAAGAGTTAATTTGAATGAAAAAATCTATTTGAATGAAAAAATACTATTACTAGTATAAGTATATTGAGTACGTCCTTCATTTGTATGCTTTGGAAAAGCTATGTATGTAAAAAGCTAGCAAGTTGGCAGTGCTGTCGGCCAAGTACAAGTCCATGAGCCACTAAATACGATCAGAGAACCGCAAAGCCATTTGTGCTGGCACTTTACTGTGGATCTGAAATGCTATTCTTTCTGAATGGTCACAGTTGTGTATTGACCCGAGGTTAATCCACCTAGAATGCCCTAATTTACAGGCCAGATGGCAGCGTTTAATTTCTTTATTTCTTAGGGAAATCTGTTTACAGAAAACAGTTCTGCTGGCACTGAGCTGCTAAGACTTCTTGACTCTGGTTGTGATGATGCAGTCTCTTCAGTGTAATACTGGAGCTGAGCTGAAAGGCTTAGCTTGCTTGGTTATCCAAGTATTACTGTTTGTTAATAAGAATTAACCAGCAAAGCTTGGCTATGCTGGCTAATGGGAGGCAGTAACTCAGGTGCCTACATTAGGAGGCCATAACCCCGAAGTTCCCATAGTCAGTAGAGAGGGGACGGCTTCCCCGAGAGTGATACAGGGTTGCCTTCTGTGGAAGATTTTCCTCTTCCTCAAGTCTGTTAACTTGAGATGCTAGAAGGCAGATGAGTATTAGCTCCCAAGGGATGCTCTATGTTTCTCAGACCTCAGGCATACAAGGGCTTTGCACGGCCCCTTGTCACAGGAGAGAAACCAGTCGAAAGAAACAAGTCTGCCATGTCAGGCCGTGACGGCATAGCACTGAAATTGTCACCTTGTCTGAAACTGTTACTGCATATGGAGGGCTAACAAACTGCCATGACACATGAATATTTCCTAAAAGATTGCTTTTAAATTATTTTTAAAGTGCAATCTGCAGGAAAGGGATCATTCTCTGGAAGTTACAGGGGTGGCACCTAGGTGCACTTCAGCATCTTATTCCCTCTGCTTCTAATTCAAGATCTTAGCTAAGGCTAATCTTATGTGGACTTAGTTAAATCACCTAAATACTTTGCTTTGATTTCCCAGTCTGTGAAATTAAGATCGTATTACTGTAGTACTTAACTATTTCATGCCTGTAGTGTAAGTGCTAAATCCATGGTAAACTGGACCCCCAAATGTTGGTTCATTCAGAAAGTCTTGCAAGTATCATGGTAGTTGTGGAGTTGTCTAGAACAACAGAAAATCAGTCATGTTTGGAGATGCCTGAGAACATTATCTGTATAGCTGGCCCTGGCCATGCACTGCTTTGCACCAGAGCTGTGGTACCAAAGAGGAACACACACATGGTACCTTCTGGGAGATGAGTTTGAACGTGAGAACTCAGCTGGGATAGAACAGGAGTCCTGAACTGTCACTCCCAGCAACACCAGGCATCTGCTCTGAAACAAATTCCTCTAGGTCTTTGTTCTTTGTTTTACCCTTTTCACAAGGTCTGAATTCTTATTTAGAAAGAATTCCATCTGGTTTGCCTGACCAGGCTGGCAGACCAGACTTCCTGATGTGAATTGTTGTTGTAAACATTGTTTCTGGGATGATAGGTTGCTCCCAAATAATAAGGCCGTTCAGTTTCTTAGTGTGGATCTCATGAGGAGATAGGCTAAGTAGAGGGAGTTGTATTTTAAAAAGCAGTTAATTAGACAGTTGTAATGCTTTCAGTTCTTCCTGGCATTATATTTCGCCCTGTCAAATTAAACACGGATGCTTCTAAACATTGATTACACAGAGGCTGTTCCTGTTGGTTTGGCTTAACTCATCTGCATTTATCACTTTTTGATAGATGTATTATACATACAATGAAGCTTGCTAGGTATAGAATATTTAATATTCAAGTGGCTTCATTGCTGCTTTACAAATATGTCATCATTTCCTTTGGATTGCAAAATAGCCCGGAGCTTCATCATTTAGAAATTTGAACAGACAGTAGATGTTTAAATATCTCATTTAAATAAAAACATAAATTTCTTCAGAATGAGGTGGGAAAGGCAGCCCAGCAGTAAGAAAAGCCTGGGGGATAACAATGGCAGCAGGAGAGGTTACAGACTCCCATTCTGTCAAGGACTCTTGTTTGGTTTTAGTTGTGAAAAATGCAAGTGAAAGTGTTACACTGGAGAAAGCCTAAACCCATTGGAAATGTCAGCCAGTCTTGGTGTAACACATGAGCTGATTCTTTAGGAGCTGTTGTCAGTGAAAGGCAGAGGTCTTGGTGAAAGTCTTACAGTTGCCAGACCATCTGTCAGTTCCAATTTGATATAATTTAACTTTTTTTTTTTTTTTCTGATTTATCTTTGGGGACTGAACACTGTTTTATCAGTACAACACCTGCCTTAGGAGAAGGACCCTGTGTGTTTACACCAGAGAAATTGTGGAATGGGTAAAAATATCTGAGAAAGTACTGTGTGCATTTCATAACTCTAATAAGTCCATCTCTCTCCCCCAGAGCAAAGGCTTGCTTGATCATTGAGCTTTTAATTAGGTTATTACAAGTTTACACACAGGGATCTGTACTGAGTCAAATCTTCCATCCTTGCTGTCCAAGGGAGTGAGTGTCTTGAGTCCCAGTGGATTGTAGCCCCATATAGGTGAGAGAAACTGGAGACAGCTCAGTGCAAAGACGTCCATGCTGGATCCAACCAGGGTGTGATGAATCCAGAGGCATGACCCATTTGGATAGTTTCTGGCTCAGAAGAAGGGTTATGGCACTGACTCAGCTTTACTTTTTCCACTATCCTGCCTGGGATGTGTTGCTCAGAAGCAGCATTGTACTGGCTTTGTAAAGAGCCAGTCATTCAAAGCAACTCCAACATCTTTGTATGATACTGCTTTTCTGGTTTTAGATGTACCTTGGAGATTTTGAACTGGATGCATTAAATGCAATTGTGGTCTTTTTCAGAGCTTGACAATTTTTATGTGTTCTTAGATCAGCATCTGATCAGGCCTACATCATCCAGCAGGACAGTTTCCTGCCTGGTAACTGCTGAAAACTAGGCTTCTTACATGGAGTTTATGAGGAGCAAACTGAGTTCCTAAGAAAGCCTGCAGATCTGCCAGTTGCCATGTAAGAGAGGCCTGACAGGTCACGAGTGAGGTACAGGCCAGGTTTGACAAATGGCTAGAACGTTTTCTTGCCTGTGCCCTCTTGCCCTCTATTTTTACCCACTGCTAGTAGTTCTTCCTGGGTATCAAATTTACCCCAATACAGAAACAGGCACTGGACTCACCAGCTAAATCCCTAGGCCTTAGGAAGTGTCTTGTTGAGGACACCACCAGACAGTGCTATGTGTGAGCACAGTCATCGTTATCCAGAAGACCCATTTTGTAAAGATGACAAGTTTTTGGAATGGCTGATAAAGGTTGTCCATCAGCCCAATCTTTAACTCTCCGAGGTCAGAAGGGGACTGAATGGCTGTAGCAGGCAGTATTCTCCTATGCTTTGGGCTTCTGCCTTCTAGGACTTGTCTGGCGCTATCATGCAGAAGATCAAACTAGTGAGCTGCTAGTTGTGAGCCCCAGTGCTGCTGTTTTCCTCTATAGTCAAATCACTTGGGAAGGGAACATGCAGCTCTGTGAAAGAAAACAAGCCCTTCCCCATTCCTGCCCCTTGAACGCATAGCTGTCAAGTGTCCTCAGTGATGCAAGTTCTTTGTTTAATTGTCATTCTTGGTGCTAAAGGCTTCCTCTGGCAGTACCAATGAAGCGGAGACAGAGATGGGTCTTGTCGTTGGCCATGCCTATGCAGTGACTGCAATTCGGAAGCTGCGTCTTGGAGAAAGGCTCCTATTCTCTTTTAAGTCGGAAAAGCTGTTCATGATCAGGCTGAGGAATCCCTGGGGAAAAAGAGAGTGGAACGGCCCCTGGAGTGACACGTAAGTGCTGCAAATCCAGTGCAAATGAATAAAACTGTGATCAGGGCCACTGGACATTAGATGCATTGTTAAATATTGTTGAGACGCGTTAGTCTGCAATACTCCATGATGGCTGAACCTTTGTGCCATCTCTTCCCAAATATAGCATTCTCTGAGCAAATGAACACATTCTGGAGGTGCCAGGAGGTTATGGCTTCCTGGGCTTTAGGTTACTGTATACATCATTGTTCTGTCACACTGGAGCATGAGTAGAAAAATAGCCTGCAATTAAGGTGATGAGTCAAGAATGTGAGGTTTTTTCCCAGCTTCACCAGTGAGTTTGTCTGTGACTCAGTTTCTCATCTGTAATTGCTAGCTGCTGTGGATGGTATAAGTCTTATATTCTCAGATAATCTAAGTGACTGGTGAAAAATGCTGTAAAATTGCCACATTTGTGATTTCTTGAATTATTTTCTACTGAATTTTAATGTGGGCCAGGAGCTTAGCAGGCACCCCTACAGAGAGAGAAATGATTGCTGGAAGGGATGTATTCCATCACTGGCAATTTACACATGAAATACATTTAACTAGGATGTTATAGTTCAACACTGTGCTTACCAGCCACTGTTAGCATTTAATAATGCAATGTTCTTAACAACAGCATATTAAGTTCTTGTCTTCCATACTTTAGCTAGCAAAAATCTGTTACTTTCAAAGAGTTTGGTTCAGGTGAAATACGAAGAATGAGCAGAAGAGCTACTGTGTCTTGTTTAACTTAAGCCCTTGTGATTCCCCACTAGCCCTTTTCTTGGCACAGTTGCCACTCTTTCCAGTGGAAGCACTAAGGACTCTGAGGTTGGCCCATAGTTTTTGGCCTAACAGAATTAAAAGAAGAATTTCCAAATATGTTAAAAAAATGTCTGTTATGGCAAGCTGCCTCCCTTCCCTCCTGCCAGCCACCTTCAACTTTAACCTCCAAGTACTTTTGGAAAGGGAGTGAGGAATTGTGGCTCTGTTTGTCTGATGAACACATTAGGGAAGGGGCTTGTGTTGTCTTCTATCACGTGTCCTGATTTAAGCATCAGACTGCTTGCATTTAAGATCCTGTGCTCCCCTGCAGTCAGGGGAAGAGCCAGGTGCCTCCAGGGGACAATGCAGAGCACATAAGTTAGATGCTAATGCAGGCAATGAAGTGTCTGTGCAGTGTAGTGTTACTCTGGAAACTGGGCACTGGGCTCTTGCTGCAACAATTTCTTCTCAAAGGCTGTCTGGGGAAATCTCAGACCTCAGGCCTGTTTTATTTAAGGAGATTGAAAGACAGAGAGAATACTCTGGTCTAAGTGAAGTGTTCAATAAGCTCCTGAGGAGGAAAACCAGGTTTCTTTTGAAGAGCCCTCAGGGAGTAGAATCAATCTCATATGACCTTCCAAACCAGGTGTCTAAGTGTCCTATGGGAGGCTGTGACAAAGGAAATCAATAAGGTTCTGCTCTAGTTGTACCAATTTCTCATTCATCTTTTTATTTTTTAGTAGCTTTCACATCAATTAATGTTTTAAAACTCCTCCCGTAAGCCCCACACTTTTTTCCTGAATATCATCTGTCCTTTCAGTACTCCAATGTTACCTTTATAACAAGTATTTAATGTATTAATCATCTTTGTTGTTCTGTTCCTCTTTTTTTTCTTTTTCCTTTTAGTTCTGAGGAGTGGAAGAAAGTCAGCGATTCAGAACGTAAGAGCTTGGGACTCACTCTTGAGAATGATGGAGAGTTCTGGTGAGTGGAAGTCACATGAAGGGTTTGGAGATACTGGTTACTCCATGTAATTTTTTTTTAATTCTGCCATTTAACAGCCTTGAAAAGAACTTCTCCAAATGATTATCCAGTCCTGGCACAAGTCTGTTTCAGACAGAAACAGAGAAGAACAGAAAAAACTAGTAGAACAAAATTAGTAGCCCTTGGTAAATGTAAGTTTCAGACACCTTCAAAATCCATTATCTATATTTAGGACATTTGCTCAGAATCAAAGACAACATGTGCTGGTTTACATGACAGAAAGCCAACTATTCAACGCATTGTCAATCCTGTTTACTGACTATCATGCCCATCTGTAGGATTTCTAGGTCAACCATGGCTGAGGTATCTGTAAGTACAATTGCAGCCAATGAATTTTGATATTTGTTAGTGTTTTCCAGCATGGGCAGAAGAAGTGTTCATTCTCTACAGAATCTCTAGACTTCTAATAATTAGCTTAGGTACACTAAGACAGTCCAGCAACTTCTTCAGTAGGCATCAAGTGTGCTGGTAGGGCTCAGTATGAAAAGTCTTCTGTTTGCTTGACTTTGTCAGAGTTGGCAACCGGAAGCCAGCTGTAGGGTTTGATTCTGGGCCATTAATAAGCCAGGACATGATGGTAGTTCAGAGATTCCCAGCTGTTAGAGGAGGTGAATGTTTTTAAACTGTTCTGCAATCCAGTCTGTCATGTTAGCAGGCACAGGCATTGAGATGGTGCTAAATAAAACCTGTGTCCAGAGTACAGGGGTTTGAGTTGTGATGTAACAATAAGGACCATCACAATAAGGAGTGGATAGTGCTTTGGTTGCAAATAGTATCTTTGCAAAATATATGTTACCAAATCCAGCTTGGTAGCTACAACTTATACTTTAGATATAGGTGCTGCAACTGAACAAATCCAGAGCTGACTAAACACACTGAGGTGATATTTCTCTGAATTAAGTTCCAAGATAGTGTGAGTGTGGCCTCACAAGTATTTCCACACGAAGAGCTTTCCAGTGAATCAGTTGTCCTCTGAATAGCTGAGCAATGCCTCCTCTGAAATTACTGGAAGATTTCGTGTGTTATTTTGGCTATTTGCATGAGTATCACTGTCTATTTTTAAATAAACCATGACTTTCCTTGTGTTCCATGGAACAGGATGACGTTTGAGGACTGGTGTAAGAATTTCACTGATGTGGACATCTGCCGGATTGTAAATACCTCCTACTTCAGTATCCACAAGACCTGGGAGAAGAAAATGATGCATGGAGCTTGGGCAAAGAACTCAGAGCCCCTGCTAAATCGCTCTGGTGGATGCTTTGATAACAAAGAGACCTTCCTGCAGAATCCCCAGGTGGGAATCACTGTATTTTTTGAGGTATTGAAGTGTATCCGCATTAGTTAGGGCTTCTGAATTATCCACCCTATTTAGGAGTTGGCAGTGACTACTTGATGGAAATCTCATTGCCAGTGCCTGTCCTCTGGGACTACGCTGGTTCGCTGCATGTTTCAGTGATTTCTCTGAAATATCTCAGAGGAGTTTAGACATTTGTTTAGGACTGATCATGTTTGGGGCTGATGAGTCAGACACACCAGGATTAGTGAAGTTCTGCCCAGACTTCTTTCAGTTTCCCAGTTGTAGGAAGGCAGCAAGTCTGATTTTCTAAATACAGAACTCAATTCACTTAACACCCATGAACAGCCTGAGGATTTGGTTCACAGTGTTTAGTTAGTATACTAACTAAAGTATACTTTGCATTAATCTAAGATTCTGAAAGTATCTAGTCTCTTCTCCAAGCTCACCCTCTCATCAACATTACAGAATTTTCCTTGTCTCATCCTACCTGGTAACTTGCAAGCTATTCAGTTTATCTGTTCATCCATTCTTACTCCATTTCTCACCTTCCTGCCCTTCTTGGTCTTGTATGTTTTCATCCCAGTGCATGGAAATTCAGGCATAAAACCTCCGTTACTGTCAATGAGATCTGGGCGCTTACTGCTTTAGTTATTACTTTGAAAATTGACCTTTCTGTTCTTTTGTAATTCACCACATACTTTGGATTAATTCAAGATGTTCTTATGTCTGCTTCTCTGCACTTGAATGGGAGGTTTCTATCTGCACCCCTCCATTTTCATAGCAGGATATTAGAGAAGTGCAGCCTTTGCTGTTCAGACCGGGAATGAATCTCAGCTCCCAGCTTGTCCTGTCATATAGGTGTAGATGGAGAAGCAGCTCTTCACTGCTCCGTTTTCTCTCAGTGCCTCATTTCCAGAGGATGATTTTATTCAGATATTCCCCTGTATGATTCTGGCTGTTTTCCAAGTGCTTGTCTGGGTCTCATTTGTAAGTGTTTAGCTGCAACAGAGAACAAAATATACATGTTACGGTTGAGTGCAATGCCTGATGCAATGGAAGTTCTTTTTATTCCAGTGTTATCTCTAGGCTAGTTGATTAAAAGGCTCTTAATAGCAGCACTGGAACACATTTATGTTAGCTTAGGGCTGTTATAAATTAGTGTGGCACATACTACCACGGTCTAGAGATAATCTCTGTCTGTTCTTCCTGAGTGAAATGCCTGACACTGAGGTCTCCTGTGATTATCTTTACAGAGACGGACTGTGACACTTCCAGTCCCTTTAAAATAAGGGAATTTAAGTCCAGTATAAATGTATTCCTGTGGTCACCTGCTGATTTCCAGATTGTTACCCATTAGAACAGCTGAAATGTCATCAGATCAAAGATCATCAGAGTTTCATGCATCTCATCAGACCAAGAGAGCTCCTTTTGTACTCTCACAGTTCCCCTTCCACACCTCCAGTTGCCCTGGAACACTCTAGGCTCTCTGACAAGGCAACACTGCGTATGTTCAACAGGGACAAGAATTAAAGTGTGCCTTACTAGGTGTTGCTGCATCTTTATTCTTGCTATTTAAATTCTCCCTGCAGAGGCTCTTTACAAGAAAGCCCTAGGACTCTCTTCAGGGTCCTGTGCTTTCTCTGTCACAATGTTGATATAGTACACAAATAAGAGTACAAAGCATTGAATTTGTACCAAAAACCAGCCAGCCCAGAATACCAAGCAGTAGTTCTGTAGGAGGCCGGTCTGGACTGTAAATACTCTGAACAACTAATGAAGCCCAGAGGCTTGGGAAGGTATTGACTTTCTTTCCAATACTGCTGTGATTCAGCCAACTCTGCTAGAGGTTAGTGTTTCCTCCATGTGGGTGTAACACTGCCTGAGACAGCGAGGGTCAGGGAGGAGAAATGAGATATTGCCTTATTCTGCAGAGCTCTAACCACAGAGAGATGAAGTCATTACAGTAACTAAGGCAATCTCAGTACCTACTTCAGAGCAAAGTTCAATGAGGATTTGCTTTTTTAGCAGCTCTTGGAGGAGCAAAGAGGGGGCAGTTGTACCACTAATGATATTCCTCTTCATGCTGTCAGAGAATTTTGGCTTAAATCGGAACACGGTGCTGTGTTCTGTTCTTAAATCAGAACACAGTTCCCAGCTGTGCATTGCTGCAGTTTTATGCTTTTATTTGTTTGCTTCACATCGAAAGGTCTTCAAGGATGAAAGAATACAGCATCTGTCTAAACTTGGCATAAATAGTGTCCTCTTCCCCTCCACTGGTTCTGACAACTCAGATTTGCCCTCTGTATGCAAGAAAGAGACAAAATTTAAAGGAATCTCTAATAGTGAACAAATTTGAGTGTTTAATTCTTTGTCATATAAAGAAACACATGTCTGACCCTTTCTGGTCTACTGAAAGGGTACATACCTACCCGTGAACTGGTCTGGTAGTGATGCTTAATAATGTAAGCAATTCAAGTCTGCTTTATTGAGATGGGAACTGCTGCTTTAGCTTGAAATAATTTCTTTTGATTGGTCTTAAACTTAAATTGGTTCAAGTTTGGTTTAAACAGTTTAGATGAAAGATTTGCATGTTAAAGATGCAGGAGTCTTTCTTAGCCCTTTTTAGTGGGTATTCCTAGGACTTTCAGGAAAACTGAGAAAGTCCAAAATGAGCGTTCCTGTCATTCTTATATTAAATAGATGTGGAACAAATGGTTTTTTTTTAACTATGGTTTGGAAGATTCCTTCATTTGCAGGTCCTAGATGAAGATGTTTGAAATTTACAGGCTCTGTTTATATATTCAAGTTAAAAGACGTTTAAAAAATTCAAAGACCCATCTGGAATCTGATGGTTTATTTTATCTCACTCCTGATTTATATATATCTAAAGAAAATCTTTTGTCTTTTGCTTTCAGAGGAGGTGTTCTCTTCTGCTGACTCAGCAGTTATTTTATAATAGTCTCATGCTGTCCTTTATGTCCTTTATCAGTGTCTCTGATACTTTTGGTTTAAAGATCCTTATTACTAGCATTAATTTTCAGCTGCGAATTGCTGGGAATGTCTGTTAACGCAAAGAATTGTCCTACCACCCCCAAATGTATTTTCATTTGCCTCCTTTGTATGCACGTGTTTTCTCAGTGATGGCTTTATCCTCAGTATCCTAAGGCATTTCTAACAGCTTACTGTCTTTTCTCTCACTGCTAGTACGTCTTTGACATTAAGAAGACTGAGGACAAAGTGTTGGTCTCATTGCAACAGGAGGATCGCCGCAAATACAAGAAAGAAGGGAAAGGAGACAGCATCCCAATTGGCTTTGAAATATTCAAGGTAGGCAGCCAGCTGCACTCCTGGTTCAGAGTTTCTTCTGCTTCATCCTGTCACTGAGATCTTTGGCACGATTATCATGGTGGGGTCTGGCTCTTCTCTCTACATGAGCTTCGTGTGTGTACTGCACTCAGTCACCAGTGATGATATTAGACAGACTATTTGAACTAAATTGAATTTACTTCAAGTCAATATCTGTTTGAACTACAGAAGCATAAGTCATTTTTCCCTACTGCAAAAGAATTTTAAGCTTTGCAGAGAAAGACAAAAAAAATATTAATGCTTGAAACATGAAGGGTTTTTTCTCCTCCCCACTGGAGGCTCCTGCCTCCATTTCATCAGCAAATGCAGCCCAGTGAATGAGTTTGAAAAGTCTGCAGTTTTTCTCTTGCCTCTTAGAAAAAAAGAGTCAAGAGTGTTTTCAAAAGCCAAAGTAGTGAGTAGGAAATGGGCATATGTGAAAAGAAACCAAAGGGATCCCAAACAGTAATTTAATTGCACTCCCAGGGCAAAATGAGTAAAATGAAAACATACGAACTGAAAGGAGGAGGAAGGCAAGAAAAACAGCTATGCATCTGCTTTTTCTCTGAGGATCTGGCTTATCTTATCATCTGTTGCTATAGCTAGTGGGACTACACTGAGTCTATGGCCCTACACCCTAAAAATACCCCTAGTCTATACCCAAAAAAATAGTCAGTTTTTAACATTCAATTAGAGAGCTACTGACATCTGCATTACACCTATTCATTTGACAATCACCTCTTAACCACATATACTGAAAAGTGTCATTACAGAAAGTAGCATAATTTACCTTGCCTTGCTCATGCCTGTATATCTGATTTGGAAAGGCTTGGAAAAGAAAATCACACCTTCAGAAAAGTATCAATGCTCTGTCTTCATTTTTGTTGAATAATTTTTCTATTTCATAAGTGTTATAACCCACCAGGCTCATTATCATGACTAAAGGCCTTTGGAAGACCATAGCCTAAATTATCTGAAGACAAATGAGAACTACTAAAAAGGCTGTCTTTGCCTCCAGGAGCTGCTTAGGAAATAGGTTTATATTCTAACTGTGCTGTGGCAAATATTACTTCCCTGAAGAGGATGTTAATATTTAAGCACAGCTTCAAGGCTTAGAAAAAAAACTTAAGGACCCCCAACATAAAAAAGACTTGGAACCTATTGGAGTGAGTCCAGAGGAGGCCATGAAGATGATCAGAGGGCTGGAGCACCTCTGCTATGGAGACAGGGTGAGAGAGTTGGGGTTGTTCAGCCTGGAGAAGGCTCCAGGGAGACCTTATAGCAGCCTTCCAGTACCTAAAGGTGCTACAGGAAAGATGGGGAGGGACTCTTTATTAGGGAGTGTGGCAACAGGATGAGGGGTATTGGTTTTCAACTGAAAGAGGGGAGATTTAGATTAGATATTGGGAAGAAAGTCTTCACTCTGAGGGTGCTGAGACACTGGCACAGGCTGCCCAGAGAAGTTGTGGGTGCCCCATCCCTGGAGGTGTTCAAGGCCAGGTTGGATGGGGCTTTGAGCAACCTGGTCTGGTGGGAGGTGTCCCTGCCCAGGGCAGGGGGGTTGGAACTCGATGATCTTTAAGGTCCCTTCCGACCCAAACCATTCTATGGTTTTGTATTTAGGAAAGGGCAATATAAATACAGCTGTGTGCATCTGGATCGAGAGCCTGCTATGTAAGACTGGAATGCTCTCTCTACATGCTTGAGGAAGGAGGCAGACAAATCCCAGACTAATCTAAGATGGCAGTGTAGCTCAGCGGCTGGAGTCCTCAGAGTGTGCGTGCATTTCTGAAAGTATTCAAAAGTCTGCAGTAGCATTATGTCTCTGTTAGTGTAAGCATGCCTTTGCCAGTCCAAAACTTTCACCTCCCCTTAGTGGTGTACTGGTATATACCAATGCAGTGAAGTGCAGAACAGCACTGCTTGGAAGCCTGTGTTGGCTAGCATTTGGACCACTGGGTTGCCCGTTGGGACTATCTCTGCCACAGCTTCAGTGCCAAACCATTTGCATTTATTGCACATCTTTTTCGCTTGTGAACAGCTGTGTGATGTGCAGGGGAAATGCTGCCTGTTAGCTCTGATGTCCCTCCTTGCATTAATCCCTGTACTGCTCTGTGGCTGTAGGTGGAGGATAACAGACGCTATAGACTACACAAGCTGACTGTGCAGGAGAGAGTGGCTACATCTCTGTACATCAACACACGCACTGTGTTCTTGAGGAGGATCCTTAAGCAGGGCCGTTACGTCCTTATCCCAACTACATACCATCCTGGCATCATCACAAAATTTATCCTGAGACTCTTCACAGATGTGCCGTCAAAACTCAGGTAGGTTGTGCTCACAGCTACTTGAGATCTTCCCCTGCCCACATTGGCTTCACCTCCTTAGAAATGGTTGTCTGGTTACCCTCAAATATCCCTGACTCACTAGCTCATATCACTCCAGAACCAGGTCCTTGAGATGGTCGGGGTCACCTCCAAGAATCTCCAGATGGCTCACTGAGATTTTTGCATGATCAGTCCATTTTTACAATTTAGTTTGGCTTTTGTAGTTGCCTCCAGTTCTAGATCAGAACACTGAGCACTGGTGCTTGCAGTTACAGTTGATACTGTTTATTTCTTTGACCATCTCCTTTGAAACCAGAGGTTGTCTACTTTGATTTTATTTTGCATAATTAAAGGGTTTTTTCCACCGCTATTGCTGCCATGTGAAAGATGACACAAATTTGCTTTACTTTTCTTTGCTCTCTTTTTGTTTAAGTCTGTCATTTCTGTACCACAAATTTCCAAAGCAGTAGATGAGGCACGAGTACAAACCTCATGTTCTGAAAATGTGAGATTTCCACAGCCATTGATTGTTTACTTGATATTCGTTGCTTCAGTTGCTTTTCCTGTGATTTTTCAGGGAGCTGAAGGCAGATAAGCCTAAAATGACATGCTGGAGTCTTCTTTGTGGCTATCCACGCAGAGTCACCCAAATCAAAATTCACTCTGCAGAGGGTTTACAGAAGCAAGACAGATCAGGCGGTAAGTGCAAAGCAAGCCTGGGAGAGTAGGAGGGGCTTCTTCAGTCATCTAAAGATGATCTGAGTTGATATGTAAACAGTCAGAAATTATCCAAACAAACTGAAGATCTATGGGATTTTTTTCAGCATGTTGTAAAATCTGCTCAAAAGGAGAGATCACATGAACAAGATCATGTAAACCAGCAAGAGTTATGTGTCATCTATGCCGGTCCAGACGGGCCGTAGTAGCCAGACCTTCCTTAGAAACTTTTTTTGGGATTAGTAAGAAACTCACCTTTCAAGGTTATGTGTTTTCTAAATGGAAAATATCCAGGGAGACTGCTGAATCACACAGACTCATGTAAGTGTATTACACTTACCTCAGCAACGTCATTCATAGCCTTCAGAGCACTTTGTTATTCATTGCCACAAGCTTAATAACACTTCAGGGAGGAAATAACACTTTTCAAACAACCGTTTTCAGCTGGGTAAACTCAGACAGGAAGAGGTTAAATGACTTGTACAGGACTGTGTATCGACACATGAAAGGAAATGTCCTGAAGGACTCTAAAATGTCTTTCTGGCACCTGATGTTGATGGTTAATTAGGAGACTTGTCCAGTTGCCATTTGCTTCATCATTTTCTACTCCTACTCTCCGTCTGTCAGCCTTCATTTTCCATGACCAGTGCAATAGAAGAAGGTAGACACATTCAGCACTGAGTGGCTGGTAGGAAGAAAGCAACGGAGCAGAGATACTATGGTGAAATTGGAACAGGAAACTAAAGAGATTCCTGAAACATCTGCTGTGTTTGCTCCAGATAACTCTTCAGCTCTCTTCACTTTAAGATGTGGAGCTCAGTTGCATTAACTTCTTGTGGTAGAGAAGGCATTAGGCTTAGACCTGTAGTACAGTTCATCTTCAGTCTCACAAAGCAGCTGCAAAATTTCTCCCATCAGCTGGCTGCAATTTTATTCCAGTCCCATTTTCATAGTTATTCCTGGCACCCACTGAGTGGTGGCTGAAGGTACTTTTCCCTGTGAAAGCCACTTTAATTCTGGTTGTCTCTTGAGTGGATGGGAATGTTGGAGGGAAGAGATATATAGTAAATTGATTCCCTTAATTTTTCTTGGTACTTTTCTTGAAAAACAGGAGCCACAAACACCTCAGCCAAACAAGTGGGTATGGCTCCATGTTCTCAGCAAGGCAGGATGGATGGGTGAGACTGAGGTCACAGTATGTGACAAGAGTAGTGGAGCCATGCACTGAAAAGAGGCAGTGTGTTCTTGTTCTTGCCTTGTGAAGGACATTATCATTATTAAGGGTGGGTTGGGTTTTTTTACTTTTAAAATTCCTTAGACATTTTTCTCTACCATTCCCTGTAGTAAAGCAATAAAAGCCAATTCTCCACCCTTTAGCATTTCACAATCCTTAGCACAATTGCAGCCTTGACAGGATCATTACAAACAATTGCCTGCAGATGCCAAAGACCAGGCTTCAGCTCAGAGACTGTTGTAGGATTGTGACACAGAGCCTCAGGAACGCACAAATAGGACTTAAAACCAACATCTAATAGATATTCTAACTACAGTATAGGGCAAATACCTTTAGGACCCAGTACTACCACACATGGTCAGGTTGAGTTGAAGCATCTTCTTCCACTTTGATTTCAGCATCCAGAGTTGGGCTGATGATTACCCTGACTGAATTGAAAAGGTAACCTGTGGTGGGAAGAACTGTCTATAGGAAATGGACTCACAGATTTTCTGTTTAAATCTTAGCAAAACTTGTGCTTGATTATTTTATCTGCTGAAAAAAACCGCAGAATTGGGTCAAGTGACAAAAAATCAGTCTACCATTGTCAATTTTCTTCTGAAGTGTTTCCATTTTTCTGTGTGAAAGAACATGCCATTTTTAAATTCATCAAAAACGTAAGGGGTTTCGAACACAAAACCTAAATTAATCTTAGTGTTTGACTTTGAGTCACCAAAAAAGTTAAAATATTTTCCTTTTTTGTATCACCATAAAGCTTTCAGTAAAAGCCCTTGTCTCTTTTCAGCCTATAGTTCCAAATCTCATCTATTCGGGGGGCACTGAAGGAGAGCTAAGTTACTTCACTTCAGTACCTTCCCCATTATCTTGAATTCTGCTGTGACATCCCTGTTTGAATCTTTCTTTATTAACCTTTTTTTTCCCTATAAGTATCTCCAACTCACAGAGTGCATTTATAGATTGCCTTGCAGAATGCCACATCTTATAGCAGCTTCAGACAAATTAAGTAGGGAAAGAGTGTAAATAATAAAACCATGAAGCCAAATGTGCACTGCTGACATTTGTGCTACACAATAGGATCAGGCTGTGCGATGACAAGGATAACGCTCATCACTGGCACTCAGCCTTCTAAGGACACCTTGCTGGGAAATTTGGCAAAGCTCCCAGTTGATACTAGAGTCCATTTTTGGTAACATAATAAGCTGGGTATGGTACATGTTTCTTACATTTGGGTTATTTTTTTGTAGATTAAAAGAGTGAATATAGAAACTCCCTGAAGCACACTGTCTGAGTGGATTGTAAATGTACACTAGAAAGTATTGTGTCCAGGGACATTAAATATTCTGTATTCTAAGATTGCTTCCTAATACTGCCACAAAAGAATGCAACTCCTTGTCATGTCTTGTCTTCTTTCTGGCTTCTCTGGATCCATGCCTGGACCCTCTCCCAAGCTTATCTCAAGGAGAAATAACGGCCAGGCATTCGAAAAAGACCATCTTTCTCAGAAGTGAATTTAGACCTTGAAGTCACGTGGGCAGTTACAGAATAACCAGCCTTACCTGCCACTCCTGGAGCATTTCCTGATGTGAATGTGACTTAAAAGTCAGCAGCAGCCTCCTGTCCAATCAGTACTGTGAGATGAGGGAAGAGGCCACACAGCAATTGCCATTGGGAGTGACAAGTAGAGGTTTCCTTTCAGGTTAGGCACAGTCAATATGTTTATTCAAGTAGAAAATAGGAAGATTAAGTGGTTGTGTTTTGCTGCTGCTAAGAGGACCTCACATAAAGGTTATGCATTTTCTGCTGTGAAGGTTGACGGCAACTTGTTCCTCTGTGAACTGCTGTATCTGATTAGCCCCACTGCATTTCATAAGGGTTTCCTGACTTGTCCTTCACCTTTTGATCTGCAGCATCTAAGCTCTCAAGCTGTTTCTTTTCTTATGCTCAGTCTCTGTCATCAGTATTCCCCCTTGTCCAGCCACCTGCCAATGGGGATGTCACTATCATCCCTTAGCATAGAGAGAAGACAAAACTTAGTGATAAAGGAGGTGGTTGTGATTCGTTCTGAAGCTTCTGAGAACTGAGACGCAGCTTTACATCCCTGTGACAAACCTGAAAACATGAGGATGTCTCTATTCTCTGACACTGGGGTAAGCAGTTGTGGACAGTAAGAGCAGCCTGAACAAAGATAGCTCTTTTTGGTATTACCTGGATAGTGGGATTTTAGACTTGAATGCACTGTTCTTCACATAAGCCCACCACTGTCATCTGAGAGCTGTACTTCGTACAAATTTCTGAGTAATTACTTAAACAAAACTCTAAGAGAATTAAGGTTGCGCAGCAAGTGCACAGCCAGCCTGGTTCATGAGCTGGTTGTCATCAGAATGCTGCTCCCTGCCAGAGGAAGGTTGTTTAATCTCAATTTTCTTTGATCCATTGTCCTGTCTGGAAAAAAATAATGGATGGTTTGCTGTTGTCAAGAACATTGGATGAATCTAGCTGCACAGGCTTAATTCTGAATGCATATAGGCTGCTTCTTTTGAGTTAGCTTGTTCTGAAGTTGATCCAACCATCTGTGAGCCAAGCGCAGTGGCAGGTTTGGATGAACATGAGGAAGCTCTGTGTGCTTAGAGATTTTTGTCTCTCATTCCCAAGTCTGTTTTAAAAATCGCTCTTGCTACTGTCTGTCACTCTTTTTCCAAGAGTTTATCTTTGAGAACAAATCACCTTTTGCATTTTTGAGTCTTCCCACTGAAATTCCATGTTGAATTTGCAGATTTAATTGCCTTTCACCACTTCTTTTCTGAACTAGGTATTGTCATGCCCAGTGGCCAAACTGGAGAAGAGTGGGAATGTCTCTGAGAACTTTTTCTGTGATTTTTTGTGGTTGGTACAGTGCTGAAGGATGTGAATGTTAGCTCCTCAGTCCAATTCTCAAAGTGAAAAAAAAAGTTAGCCTTAGACTACTGTGCATAGATTTCTTTAAGCCTTAGAAACATCATTACTGTTCAAGTGTTTCTGGCTTTTACAGATTTCAGCTTTTTCCTCTGTGCTGTTCTTGCGTAAACTTTCCAATGCAGCAGCATGGCTGTAGCACTGAGATGGAATGGTTGTTTATGCTCAGTATGGTGTTCAAGGCATGGCTTGACTCATATGTGGCCTGAGAGCTGAACCCGGTCCTCCTTCCACTGCCCGAGTAGCTCCAGTTGTTTTCATTCCCAGCTCATGATGAGGATGTTGCTTTTCCATGTTCATAGCGCTTTCTGCATTGTCTTCTGTCTGCCCGTGAATAAACCAGGCCCAGAGCTGCAAAGAATGGGGCCAATTATAGTGAGAACGTCCCTTGTCTCATCCCACTGTGCAGCTCTCCCATTTCTTTCTTTTGTTCTGGAACTGGAGCCAGTCCTCCCAGTACCAGTGACCACTCCCAATGCCTTCATAAGCTGTGCAGGTACCTTTCATGTTCCTCTTCTGCCTCCTTTTTTTCTAGCTTTTTCTGAGAATTTGAATCTCTTTCTTTCAAATGTTAGCTTTTCCTTTCACTTAGCAAGTCCCTTCATTAAGAGCTCCCTCATATCCCACAGATATGCCTGTTACCTCTTTAAGCTCTGTGTCCTTTCCCCACCTCTTCATATGCCCTTTATTTCTTAATTACTGTTAATGATCAGATGTTTCTTTGCTCTTTGCCTTCGGCCAAAGTACTTGACACCATTTCATGCAAGACCCCATTCTATTCAGATCCATTTTTGCAAATCTCTTTGCAAAGGGGGAAGCCTTTCCATCGATGATTACACAGCGTGGTGCCGCCCCATGCCCCAGAGCTAAATCCACACATGCAGTGACACAGAAAGTAATTGCCTATCAGAAAAGCCAACACACTGCTACCTGCTATAGAAAGTGTGAGATGTTGTCAGGGTAACAGGCCTCTCGCACGTCTGGCCAGGTGTAATCATAGTGCAGCATACGGAAAAATCTGTTTCTTTCTCGTGAGTGGAAGCAGCTCCTTCTGGTTTGGATGTAGCTGTTACGAGGTTTGTTTGCGTGAGATGTTGGTATCTGTGCCTGTAAATGAGTGACATGTTTGAGGAAAATCGTCCTGGCTATGAATTGTTAAAAAACAAAAGCTGCCTTAAAATTATGCTGCCTTATGGCTGTTATTCCAGTGGTGGCATTTTCAAGTAGATGGTGACAAAATGTGTGCAAGAAATGATCACAAGTGACATATGTACCACATTCGGTGGGTTTATTTAAAATCCATGTCTAAAAAGTAGCAAGGTGTGGAAAAACAGATATGCCTTCATTAACAGCGTATGGAATGGACAGAAATAGTTGTGTTGAAATACAAAAAAATGGTAGTGCCTGTGTTTAATTAAAAGTTAATTAGAAAGTGGAACGTTCCATTCTATTTGAGGATAAAGATGGTATTTCCAAATCGGTTCTTGCTTCCTATTGGAATAGAAAGAAAATATTACATTTATAACAAAGTAAAAATGTTCAGTGTAAAAACAACAAAGCATTTCTAGAATGTTGGATAGTCTCTGTTGGTTACATATGATTTAAATGTAATTTAAACCATAAACTAGGACCTGTAATAGATCCAAACATGTCGTGATAATATAAACTTTAAAATCACATCAATGCAAATGATAGGACCAAAGAAATTGTCTCAGGTTCGTAGGAATGAAATTAGAAACTGGGGAGGATTTGCTTTGACAGTTTCCCACAGAAAACTTTGTTCAAACCAGTGTGCTGCTACAAAATGTTGTTGCAATTTGGCAATATTTTACTTTCTGGAAAAGAAACCGCTTCTTGAAAACTACTCCTATCACTAGTACTCATATTGGAATATAGTAGACAACACTTTGAAGCTATAGCGACAGTCTAAAGGTGGGCACTGAGATGTGCATTCAGTGATCTAAAAGCAGTTCTGTGCAGTTCCTGTCCTTGCTCTCTGTAGGAATTGTGGACAAGTAACAGTTTTTACCTTCCATTTTGGCCCAGGCACCCAGAGCTACATATCAGATTGCGTATGCACAGCTGCATTTTGGCTCTCACATCTAGAGCAGTGTTGGGGAGCTCGGAGTATCACTTTGAAGACTTTCTTTTAGATGAGCCAGAAGGATGTGCAGCAAGGGAATGTGGAAAGATCACAATCCCGGTCTAGGAGTGAGCTGGTTTCACAGCAAATGGCATGTGGTTTCCAGCTCTGAGGATCTGGTTGTTAGGAGAATGAGGTATTTCAGCCCTGCTGGTGTTGGGCAGGTAGCAGTGGATGTGATGAGTGCTGGCACCCTGTTCCTGTGCTCAGTAGCAGTGGTGCTGCCAGGCAGAGGGAGGGGATTGCTTCTGCTGGGTTTCTGGTCAGATCTCAGCTGCCATTGTGAGCTGTGCTACTGGTTGTGTTTCAGGAGCAGATCCCTATGTGCTTATCAAGTGTGAGAGGCAGAACATGCGCTCCTCTGTGCAACACGATACGACCAGTGCCATCTTCGACATGCAAGTGATTTTCTACAGAAAGAACATCGACAGTCCTATCATTGTCCAGGTGAGATAAGCCACGCAGGGTGGGCTGCTAAAGGGAGCACAACATCACTGGGCTTGATGTGATGCTGACTCTTTCTTCATATGGCTGATACCCAGGATAGAAGTGTGAGAACCTCTGCTCCCTCTCCTGGGGTATGCCTGGAGCTATTCAGCTGCTCTACGATTCTTTAGTCCAGGTCTTTTTCATAAAACAGCAACTGATGACACTTAGAGATCAGAAAGCATAGTTCATCCCAAGGCTTTGAAGGAATGTACAGAACTACCTTTTACCTCATTTGATACCTGACGAAACAGAGACAAAGAAAAAACAAATGTCGTCCAGAGTCAGTGTTTGAAATTAAACCACAGCCAAGGCTGTTTTTAAGGTTTTTTTTTTTATCTGGAATTCTAGTCATGTGGGAATAAGACCATACTGTTTAGCTTAGCACCAGCTGGAGAAACAGAGCTTGGTATTTAGATGAGGCTGTCCAGGAAAACTTTGGGAGAGTGGAATGGCATTTCAGTTTGATGCACACGGTTGTTTAGTATTAGATAAACACTAAGGACTATGTCTTCTTCATCAGCATAGGGAGATATTACAATGCATCTGTGAGTCAATTCACTGTGGCACATCAGTGCTAGAAATCAAAATAGCTTTATAGCACTGTGTTGCAGGAAGAGATACATTTCTGATTTCTCACTGCCTGATGCAGTACTGGTGTGTAGTGCCCCTGTGCCATAGTATGAGCTAATAAGTATATTCAACATATACTATAAATCGAAGGAGGATGATAGGAGTGTTGTTCCCTAAACCACAGACCGTAGTTATGGATTAGAGGGAACTGATACAATAGCTGATGGGACATGGTCTGTGCTCTTGACATGTGCAGGATTGTTTAATCATTCGTAAAGATTTGATTAACACATGGGACCTCACCCCATCTCTCTGCAGTATGCAGCTCAGACACTTTGACTTTTCTAGGATAACTGAAAGTTAGTACTAATGAACTTCACAGACCAAAGACCAGCATGTGAGACCAGCAGCAAACCTCACTATGAACACCATTTCAGTTGCTGCCTGCTCTGTGCCCAACCCCATCCTGAGTAGGGACAAAGGACATGTCCAAGGACTTCAAAACCATGGCTGTCCCTTGCTTTAGCAGCATGGACCTGGCTCTAACAGAGTCAGAGGAAAAGCACTGAAGATGCTGCAGAGGTGATCACAAGGAGGCAGAGTGGCACAGACAGGCTGATTGCGTGTAGGTTTTTACTGCTGATGAGCTCAAACAAGTAATTTTTATTCCTGTTCTAGGCAGACTGTGACCTAGAAAGCAAAAAGCTGTATTTAGCTCCTTATTTGCATAGAGTATGTAAATGAGCATGCAAATCTGGAATCTCCCACGTGCTGTACAGACAATTAGCTAAATTTAGATGTACGCCCCCTCCTCACTGCTTTTTCAAGGGGTTAATGGGGGTGAGCCTCCTCCAGCACCACCCTTTCAGGTGGAGTGAGAGAGAAGCGCCGCTTCAGCTGGGTTTATTTCTGTTCCCTTGTCTCTAGGTCTGGAACAGCAACATCTTGTGTGACCAGTTCCTCGGACAGGCAGTGCTGGCAGCTTCACACGCTGACCCCAGAGAAGAGCAGACTCTGCAGCTCCGAGGGAGAGGCGGCCGAGAAGCAGCCGAGGTGCCAGGTCACATCACCGTCAAGGTTTTTTCCAGTGATGACCTCCTGGAGCTATGAATACCAAAGCCCCGCAGAGCCAGACAGAGCTGTCACCTCGCAGCAGGGGGGCTTGTCTGTGCTTTCTGTGTGAATGACTCGGGAGCAAAGGTTGCACATAATCATAATCGCTTTAAAAAGAAAAAGCCCTCTAACTCCCCACATTATCATGGATAATGGGGAAAGAGGCTTTTAAAGAGGGAAATAATACATATTTATACATATATACATTCATGATACAGCAAATACAGTAGAAGAGAGGCCAAATGAAACGTTAGCAGATAAGCTGTTGAAGATGTAACCATCTTCCCCAGCAGCATCTTTTAGGAGCTCTTGGCACGTAAGCGGGCAGCACACGTGACTGCTCTCACAGGTTCTCAGCACGTCATCTGTTCTCAGCAGTGGGACTGGATGCAGCAGGAACGGCTCCACCGCCACGGTCACGTACCAGCAGGCTGGGGGATGCCAAGCACAAGGTGGATTCGCAGGACTCAGTCCTTGTTCACTGCCAGGCTGTATTTGGGAGGGGGATTTTTTTAAGCTTTGATTGGAAGTTTTTGTCCCCATATAGGCATATATAATTCTTGATGAATTTCGTTGTTATTGCTACAGATCAGATATTTCTGTTCCTTGGTGAAAATGTCATTACTCAAGGAGTTCAGTCATAGATAATAGCCTTAAGACCAGGTGCACCAGGGCAACATTGAAATAGAAGGGCAGGTCTTCCAGTGTTTGTTTGAACACCAGAGCAAATAAGAGCTTTGCCTACATAAGGACTCTCAGATTGATTTTCTTATTCTTCTATTCTCCACCTCAAGCTGACGGCTCACGGGTTGGTATCTCTGGTCAAGAGAAGGGCACCTCACAATTCAGCTGTGGTTTTGCTTGGAGGAAAATTCATTAATGGGAACCTCCTTGCTAAGGAGGCTTTGTTTAATCCATGTGATGCTAAAAATGGAGTAACAGTTGTTTTCGTTCATTAGCTGTGATGGGTAGTGCCAGACTGAAAGAGGACAAAATTAGCTCATGACAAGGATGGGTTTGTAAAACAAAGATGCTGTGCAGATTTCACTCTTGAAATTTTGTATTGGTTTATTGCTGACAGAACTGATACCTTTAGTGAAATTTAATGTGGGCATAATGGGGGACTGGTATCGTTTCACATTTCTGTTCAAGGCCGGGTTCCAGTACAAACTTTCTTCTAACTTTTGCCTATAGCACGGTGCAGGGTTTCCTCACCGCGGACACTTCTGTGTTGTCAAGCTGTGCAGTGGCTCTGGTGTTAAGAGGCTCACTGTGTTACACCTCTGGGAAATGGATTTTATATGGTTGCAAATTCTGGTCTTGAAAGTGAAGGTAAAGGAGCCTTTTGTACAGCCAGGAAATTTGGATTTCTGTGTGCCTTGTAACCACTTCAGCCATTTTGTGCAATTTTTATAATTTATGAAATGGCCCTCAGTAGAGTTAATGTTTTCACAAAAGGTTTTTAAATCTCCTCAGGGCTCCAAAAGGATCATTGCTGTGGTAGGAAATGCTTTCTCTTGACATGCTGGAGATGGAGTGTGAGGCTATGAATGATATTACACTGCCATCAGCTTCGTTGCACGTACCAAGTACCTAAACACTGCTCTCTTTTTAAATAGCTTGGGCTCAAGCCATTTTGCACTAGAGCATTTTTCAGATGTGAGCTGCAGGCAGCTGACAGCCCCACAGGCAAGTGTCATTCTTCTCTGCAAACTCATAGCTTCAGAGTTGCTTACTCTCAGATATGTTTGTAAACTGTGGGGTTTTTTTTTAGAAAAGCATGAACTTTCTGATACAGACCAGAGCTCGGGCCGGGCACACGGGGAGCTGCAGCTCGGTCTGGGCTGCCCTGGCCCTGTGCTGGGACCTGTTTGCCACACTTTTCCTCACACCCTGCTTTATGCCGTGGTGGCTGCTTCTCAGCAGCGTGGCTGGAGGGGTGACCGCAGCCCCTTGGTCACCTTCTCCATACGGGTGGAGAACACCCTCCTGGTGTTCCAGCATGGCTGGAGCAATTCGTGGGGCAGCAGGGCGTGCAGGAGAGCACACTGAGGCAGAGCAGAGCAGGTCGTGTCACATAACCCCTGTTTCAGAAAGACTTTTCTCCACGGGCTGTTCCATATGAGATGGGTGCAGTAAGTATTTTTTAACACTAAATGATAACTTGTGGGAAAATGAAGGTTTTTTTATGAGGGACTGCATATATGTACACGCATGGGCCACCTTCAACAGAGAGTTTTGGCCCCCAAAATTAAAACAGAGGGAAATATTGGAAAATGTTTCATTTCAACCTTTCTTTACTTTTCAATATGAAGTGATCATAATAAAAGATTAACAAAAAAATAGATGTGTTCAGTAATTTCTGAAATGAAACAGTTGGTTTCCGATACAAGAAATCATTGTGGGGTGACCCCAAATGACATTTTTCAGCTCACTCGAGAAGAAAAATGTATCTCAACTAAATCTTCACCGTTTCTAATTCTTGCCCTAGGGTGGCTGCAGGGTAGACAGACAGCCTGAGTCCCGCAGCATCAGGCTGGGGTACAGAGGATGTCCCAGAGGCCAGAGGAGACCAAGAAGATGATCCAAGGGCTGGAGCACCTCTGCTATGGAGACAGGGTGAGAGAGTTGGGGTTGTTCAGCCTGGAGAAGGCTCCGGGGAGACCTTCTAGCCCCTTCCTGTACCTAAAGGGGCTACAGGAGAGGCGGGGAGGGACTCTTGATCAGGGAGTGGAGCGATAGGATGAGGGGTAACGGTTTTAAACTGAAAGAGGGGAGATATAGATTAGATATTAGGAAGAAGTTCTTTACTGTGAGGGTGGTGAGACACTGGCCCAGATTGCCTAGAGAAGCTGTGGATGCCCCATCCCTGGAGGTGTTCAAGGCCAGGTTAGATGAGGCTTTGAGCAACCTGGTCTGGTGGGAGGTGTCCCTGCCCAGGGCAGGGGGTTGGAACTTGATGATCTTTAAGGCCCCTTCCCACTGGAACCATCCTGTGACTGTGTTAGTGGTGAGCAGGCAGAGCTGCAGCTTTCAGACGGCATTTGTGCCTGTTATTGCTGTTCCTTGCACCTTCTGTGCACACAAGGGCGCAGTGGGCCGGGCCGGGGCAGGGCCTTCGCGCCTTCCTCTGCCCCCGCCGCCGA